ATTGGAATAGTGACAAGATTTTTAATTTGTCTATGTTTTGACGTTAATATTTTTCCGCCGTTATCTGCATTATTTACTCGTTTATACTGTCTTTTTTTAGACGTCAAAAACTGTCTTTTTTTAGACGAATTATAATTAAATAATGCCTAAAGCTTTCTAAGAAGCAAATGGGCGTTTTAATAAGAGCCCATTTACATCTGATGCGAATGAAGAAGCAACAGATATTCAGAATGGGGAATCATCTAGCTCTAAATAGTTGAAAACAAGCCCTGAATTAGTTGAACGTTAATTTGGAGATAACAAAATTGTCAATTTGACAACTTAATCTTTACTGTGGTATGTTACTCAGAATGTTTCTTTCGGAGATTGGAACTAGTGGAAGACTCTGTGAGGGGATTATGCTCCAACATGATCATAAAGAGCAAATACTTGTCCTTTTTTGAAAGCTTCTCCTTCAACAGGACAGCATAACAATTCTTCCTTCATAAATAGTTATGTTGTTTTGGTTCTCAGTATCATTGGAAAAAGATTTTCAGCTGGCAAAACATTATATTCCTTTCTGAGACTTACCATTTCTTTCAAAACTTGCTTTTCACAATCAAGAGAAGGAATTATTGTCAATTGTTGAATTTTGAGAGCAAGAAAACGATACTTCTGCACTGACTGAAAGTTAAATTTCTAATGAAGAAGTGGAATATCAGTGGAATGTGGATGTCAGTGAATAGTACATTGCAACTGCGAGGCAACTCATCCTTAAATGGTTGTATAAGTGCTGTTTGAATCAATACCTGCCAAATACTGGACATTTAAGCAATAGCTCAGTATTCAAGTCAGCGGATCACGAGTGTGCAAATTATAAATGTTCTGCAAGAAATATGGAGGTTGATGGCATCCAATGCTTTTTTTTCGAACTGTTCTATATCCGGATTATGCAGTTTAATGAATATCATAGTGATAGTGACTAAAAATGTATGAAAGTATTGAAAACTCTTACGGGATTGATTCTGTAACAAAACTAGAATGCATTGGATATGTGCAGAAATACGTAGGTGGGCATTAACGCCAATTGAAAAAGTATATAAAGGTCTAGGGAAGAAGGAAGGAAGGGGAAACTGGCTTACAAACTGACTGATTGAAATCAAAATTACTATGGCATTGCAATTAGAAGCGATGTAGGTAATCTATAAAATATGATGAATGCTGTCTATGCTTCATTGTTAAGCAGTGTTTCGGATACCAGCAATCCTCTTCATGGTAAGTGCTCAGAAGGTCCTGATAATTGATGTAAATTTCAACCAGCAAAAGCTACAAGAGATGAACTTCAAGAAAATGGAACCGGACTATCAAGCAATCTAGTTAACCTTATAAAACCTTCATAAACAAAGATATGTGATGAAAGGTTTTTAAATTGGTGACTGCATGTTAAAACTCAGAATTGTAACAAGAGCAACAATAATGTGCTTTGCAACATTTTTCCCTAGACTGTTATTGAACTGGAAATATTTCGATTAGGAGCATTATTAGCCCTGATATATTTCAATTCAGGTTACATCAGACTTATAACTATCCTTGAAAAAGCTGAAATTTTTCTCCCGGAATGCCTTGTGTATACTTTTTTTAATTTTGGCAAGTAGCGAATTTCAGCATCTACGAGACATTCCTTATAATAATCTAAATTATCTCGAAAAAAATGAAAGATGCTTGAAAAACGAATAGTACTAATAACACAAAGCCTGCGAAATTGAACTTTTAGAAAAATACAAGAGAAGTTATTGTTAATTTATATGTTATTTGATGTGCTGATTTTGAAAATGATCCTCATTTTCCCCAATCACATCAGGATTTTTGTATAAAATCGATATTAATGTTTTTACTAAAATCCTATTTGGAAAGGAATTCTCTCAAATAATTTTGCATGTACTATCCGGTAACTGTTCTCTTTATTCATTTTGATCTATGTAAAATTTATTCTTGTGAAAAGAAATTGATTTTTGAGCTATCAACTGATTTTTTATAGGTTAAAATGAATAAAAAATACTGTTACCAGACAGCAGAAGTCACCTCTGGTCAAGAGAAAAACAATAAGTTCTTTGTGTTCAAACTTTTTACAACAGTTTCTAAAAGAAAATCACCAACATACCACTTTAATTTGTTTTTATTGAGATAACTTATGTAAAATTGACGATTAACCAAGAATAACAAATATTGTGTATGTGTATATGAAAGTTTGAGACAAAAAACGAAACAAGCAAAAAACAAAAGAGAAAAGTTTCTATTTAAGTATATACTCGTTTTCCTCTGAAACTTATTTTTGATGATCTTATTTCATGCTTAATCTCAGGTTTATCCCAAGCTATCATCCAACAGTAGTCAGTGAACATGTTCTTGTCCCATCTTCCTTGATATTTACGCTAAATATCTCTGATATCTTGATGGAACCTTTCCCCTTGTTCTTCGCTAACTGCTCCTGAATTTTCAGGGAAAAAGTCCACATGTGAGTGAAGGAAATGCATTTTTTACTCATGGAGCAACCCAACGTTTTAAAATTATGCAGCATTTTCATTACAATTTCCTTATAATCAGGATCCTTGTAATTACCCAGAAATTTACTGACGACATCTTTGAAAGCAACCCAAACCGTTCCGTTTCTGTCATGTTATCCTTCATGAGTTTGCGGTTATCAGAACCAACAAATATTCCTTCTTTTAACTGACCTGGAAACTTTTTGCACAGATATTTGAAACAATTGCCATCTTTTGGAACAGCCTTGACAGACTGCTTCGTTACACCTAATTTTATGTGTAGCGGATGTAACAATACTTTTTTCGGATCAACTAAGCTGTTTCGAATAACGTTCTTGGTGCCTGGGTCAAGATTTTGTCTTTTCGGCCATTCTTTTTTGACCCATCAATGTTGAGTCTTGTCACGGCTGTCTCACTCACAAATGAAACATGGGTACTTTATATATCCCCCTTGTTAACCAAGAAGAATGGAGATAACTTTCAAATCACCGCAAATGGTCCAACTGTGGTCGATATATTTTATTTTGTTCAGGACGAGAGCCGGGTTTAGATATTAGTCTTTGATTTTTTCGGTTATACCCATGGACATGGCAGGAACAAAAGTAACAATCATCAAAGTGGTTTTGGGGCTCTCTCCACGTCATAAGAATTCCAAATCGTAAAGCAGTCTTCTTTCCTTGATGCCATAAGCGTAGATCATTGAGACACTGCACACAAACTTTATGAGGTGCCCAAGATTTGTCCTGATCTCCGAGTTTCATGTCAAAATATGCGAGATGAAGTTGTCTTACATAGTCTGTAATGCTCCTCATGCGATTTTTAACTACACTATATTCGCCGCATGGATAACAAAAGTCATCTGGGAAATTTTCCCAATGTCTTGAACTCAAAGCCATGTTTCACGAAACGCACAGAAAAAAAGAAAACTTTAAAATGACTCCCTATAACGCTTGCTAGTGTTTCTGAGAGGTCAGCGGACCTAGATAAGGATTCTCGCGACGCTATTGGTAGAGAAAGATTGTTACACAGAGAGGAACGGTGGCAGGAAGTAGTGATAGAGGCGTACTTTTATAGATTAGACCAAAATAGAATGCTGATCCATCAAAAAGGGAAGAAATTCAAAAATGAAAATTTTTTTATGGTAAATGTTCATAAAAATTCCAGTAAAATTGAATTTTTCTAAAAAACGTGACGTGATGGACATTTTTAATTATTATTTTCCATTTCAGCACCAAAAAATACATTAAGTTCAGCTGTCAGACCCCTTGTATTTTTTTCATCGCAGGCCTGTGTAATTGAAAAGGAGAAGGTATCCATATGGCTGTTGTTGATTTACTGATGTTTTGCTACTTATTTGCTTCTTAAACTTAATAAACTTGTTCAAAGATAAAGTGCAAGTGTGTTTACTGTTGTGCTTTCGACATAAAAAAGTCCATTAAAAATATTTAACTTTTTTTCTTTCAAATTTATATAATTACATAGCAGAAATGAAAGAAATGATTCTTAAGTCGTTTTCTTAATCTGCAAAAGGTATTTCAAAAAAAGGTGTTTCGACATATAACTTTTTACGATCCTAAAAATTATTCAGACGTAATATTGAAACTATTCCAAGATGAAGAAAAATATTGAGAAATAATGAAAAAAATTGCTTGTACTTTGGTAAATATTTGGTTTTGAGTCCTTACAGTGACATAATTTTTTAGACTAATGATCTTCAACCTTTAAATGCGTTTATCTCAAAATCAATTTTTTCACAATTTTCCCCACCTCAGACACGATAATCTAAAATAATTGTTTAATTTTTTCATGAGTGTTTATGACTGTATCATACATGTTTTGAACTATAAGATTAAGAGAAAAAGGTGTAATTTCATTTTTATAAATGTTTTTTTTTAGCAAAGAGAAGTGCTGAGATTTCTAAAATTTTGCTTTTTTAGCTACATTGACCTACATTTTTAACTACAGTACTTTTTGAGGGAGCTAAACAGCAATTGCGTTAACAATATGAAAACCTACAATGGTTAGCCTTACAGCAAGAAGTTTCTACCCCTTGATTCGTCTACCACTGACCCAATAGGAGGCGAGCAAGCCATTACGGCTGATTAACCAACGAGGTTTCCTTATCATATAAACATATTATCTGCAATCTGTGTTGGAGACAACATATTTCCATTGGAATTTTAAATCTTTTAACCCCTGGTTTACCTTTTTATTTTAGCCATCTTAATTTTAAGTGTTCCATAACAACACAGGTTAATTTAAACATTCAAATATTATTTTTGATCGAATTTTTAAATGTAAAAGCTGCTAATCTGTTATCACTAGAAAACTGAAGATTTTCAGATTGAAATGCATCTTTAATCAAACATTTATAAAAGCATTTTTAGAACATAAAAGGTTTATATATTTTTTTTAAATATATCTTTAACCAGTCTATTTAAAATCAGTTAAGTACATAATATATATTTTGTCTCTTAGGTGGTCCAGAAAGTCCTGAAGGTTTAGAAGCGCTCAATGTATCACATCAAAGTGCCCTTTTAGTCTGGAGCCCAGGTTTCGATGGCGGACTATCTCAAACATTTCAGTTGAAAATTCGAAAGAACCAAGAAATGTCATATACATATGTGCACATACCTATAAATTCGTCAAATTATTTAGTTACTGGACTTTCGCAAGGAGCCTTATACGAAATCTCAATTGCTGCTAAAAATTCTTTAGGAGAAAGTTTATTTTCCCCTTCTATTAACTTTCGAACAAAAAGTAAGTCATTCATCATGCTTCACTTATAGAAATTTAAAAAACATTATTTGCATAAACTTTATCCTTATTAGGAAATTGCAATTAGATTGTATGGCTCCTAACTATGTTAAGTGAATTTCGTACTAAGAAAATTGCCTCAACTTTAGAATTCCATAAACGTCATTACCAATTTAAAATATATTTTTTAATCTTCACGTGAAATAAATGTACCAAACGTATAACAATTAACATATTTTATGATAGTTACTTAATAAACTCCGTTATTACAACACAAAAACCGTAAAAGAAAAACCAATATTTTAAAAATGCATTCCATTCACTCGGAAAAAACCATAGGATCGTTTTTCTCTCTTATGTACAATTATCTTCACTTAAAAAATCTTCTGCGAATACAAATATGTTCATAGATCTGGAAATCACTTAAATTTTGAGATGTGTAAGTGGCGACATTTAGTTTCAAAGAGCAATTAATAAATACGTTATTATTTTTCTCAAAAATTAGATGTGAATAAAGTACTTCTTAAAGTAGTACATCAATATTTCCATTATCAGTAATTGCATTACATACATTTAAATACGTAACTTATATTGACAACAGTAATGGATAAAAAAAAGTGTATGTACATAAATATTGAACCATGTATTAAGATTAGACGATAAAATGTTATCCCAATCGTGTTGGTCACTAAAACTTCTTGAAATAAACTTTTTCAAAAATTATTAAATTTCAAATGTTAAATAATTTCCATAATATTTATGATCCATCCCTAGATAAAAAGCGAAATCAACTTATTACCTAAAAAAAATAATAAAAATAATTCATTCACGTTAAATCTCTATTTTCCTTATGACACACTAATCATAAATTTGGAAACCTGTTAGTTTATAATGTGCTGATTAATTTAATATACTCTACGTACATCAATAAATTACATAAACTTTAATTATTACCATATTATAATTTTTAAAGAAAGCTAACCTTGATCATATATGGATTTTAAATACATTCGAAGTCATTAATATTTTAATTCTAGTTTCAAATCAAGTATATGTTTAGGGTAAAATATTTATCGAAAATGAACATCTTATGAATATTTATACTAGATGACAAATTAAATTTAAATATTTGTTCAGATTTCTAATTGAAAGCAGATTTGAAGATTTTAAATAAATATTTTAGTTCTCTAAAATCTATTGAAGACAAGGACTTCTAATAATTTCTAAAGAAGTGTAAACAAATTGCAACTAATATACATAATTGTTTGTCAACGAAACAGTCACTTTTATAAAGTTTTTTTTTTGTTACAAAGTAGCAATCACATTGCTCAACCAAGCATGAGAAGTCATTAGTACACAAAGAATATAATTTTGTCTTAAAGCAGTGACGTTATATAAATTTCAAGTAAATTTTCGCTTCATTTATCTTTCATTTAATTTTCAACTAAATTTGTTCCTCTTAATGAGAAAGTTTCATCTTTAACGCTTAAAGAGTTTCAAACTATATAAACTATTCATCACACAACTACTGAGAGAATATTCAAGATTTATTTTTATTTTATTACTGTTTTAGTTAGTCTATTATTACTATGATTTATATATATATATATATATATATATATATNTCCCATAAAAATAGCTATATATATATATATATATATATATATATACAACTTTCTAAAGCAGTAATTAACTAATTAAAAGATAGCCCATTTTATTCGGCTAAAAGTGCGAAGTCGCACTATATCAATACATATTATTTATTAACACTGTGACGTATATCGTTCTCTAATTTTATTTTTATGCTATTTTCAAGGATACTGAACATCTCTAATACATAATAATTCAATTGGAGAAAGCTCTTTCTGTTAAGGAATTTTCAATTTTTATTTTTATTTTATTTTAAATGGTTATTGACAAACTCCACTTTTTGAAAATTTATAATTATTCCACTCGATTTATCCTGTTTTTATGATAGATTAAAATTTCAAGTTCTGTAAAAAAAAATAAAACAAATATCATAAAATACTAGTCTTTTACTAAATGATTGCTTTGGCTAATTATGTGTATACACACCATTATATGAAGTATTATTATTCATGCACCAGGCATTATTTATGTCTTAATCAATGTACTTCAAGCATATTTCAATGTAAATATTACTACAAAATTTATAATATCTTTACTTGGCTTAAGAAAGGTTAATTATGACGGAAAAAAGAAATTTACTAAGAATAATTAAGTTTTATTTATTGCACATAAGCTGAAAGTATGTACCCATAATTCTCAATATAAGATAATTATATAAAGAAAAGTAGAGTATCGAAGAGAAATTTTTTAAAAAAAAATAAAAGACTTTAAACAAAAGAAAATTAAAAAGAATTTAAAAAATATTAAAAATTAGAAAATGGCAAATTGAAATGAAAGTATGTAATCTCTTTTTCAACCCTCACGATCATATCGGCAAAATTTAGTGTTTTCTGTTATAGCATTAGTGTCACCAAATCAAAATATATCAATACAGCAGCGTGAGGAAAACCAAAAGATAAGACTGATTCATTTACATAAGACTCAAGTAAATGCAATACAGAAAATTAAATAAAAAAAACACGAAAAGGAATCTATAAAGGTAGAAAAGATAAATACGCCATGTTCCTACGACTAACTTGCCAAAGTTATTCAATAATATATTTCCATAAATAAGTTGCCAGATTTTAAAAAGTGAAATTAAAGCATTATAAAGGCAGGTGGAAATTTTTTTAAGGTTTGATCATACTACAGTTAAGAACCGATCTAATTTGTCCGTTACCTTGGATTCGCTCGAAAAACAACAGCATTGTAACAACATATTAAGTTGAATAACTCAAAAATTATAATTATTAAAAAATCAAATTTTCTGATTTAATTGAATTTTTTTTTTTTTGTAATGCATTCATAAGTTATCAGGGGCAGTCACCGGAGAAAATGAACTATAAACATAACGAGTTTAAAACGCAAATCGATCTGAAAAGATATAATTAAACCTTTCTTTGAACAGGGAGAGGAGCCACTTTGCTTTCATTAAAATAATAATTTTCCTTCTCAATTTCTTCAGCATAGTTACTAAGCGTTGACAACAAAAATCTGTCGAAATGTTTAATTCCGGTTTCAAACACTATAGATAAACTAAGTTTAAACTATTTTTGTACTTTGCTAAAAATATGTATTATTGATGTTTGCAGTCTGATTTTACAAATTTCAGAATGACTTTACTTGCATTTCAAATCTTTATTAGTAATATTGATTTTTAAAACAAATTTTCAATTCATTGAAAAAATATTTCGCGCATGCTCACGTTATAAATTTATTTATGTTTTAGAAAAATACAGGCGAACATGCTACGCAAAACTCATTTAAACATTTATTTCGAATATGCATTTAAATTTTATCATTCCTTAAATACATATTGAAAGAGAAAAAATTGTTTCTTTACTAGTCTTTAAAATTCGAAAGCGGTGATAAGAAATCCAGGCTCTCCAAACATTCCTCTATCAACAGTTTGAAATAGTTCTTTCCTTTTTTGGCATGAAATTGAAATTTGAAACATATTGCTTGAGGCAGTATAAACGCCAATGGGTTTATTTCCTTCTAATGTTGACGTTTAAGAATAAATATAGCGTCGATGGGAGTTATGTGACATCGTATTCAATGATCTAGTAGGCAGTTTCAAACACGTAATTCCATTAAGCGCTGTCAAAAAGTTTTGGAAGATTCTCTGTATAGCTTCATATATCCCTGCCCACAAAAGATTATTTATAGCTCTTGTAGGGAAATCAGAATTTATCATCTCTTTAATTCTCACGGCAGCTGGTGGTGTTGCTGAAACGAGTGTGTGCCATTAATGCTAAATTAAAGTTTTCTAAGTAAGAATTCATTGAAAACCCGATTGTAGTTTTTAAACATTTTGAGTATAAAAATGCTTCTCAAAAGGATTTTTATTTTTTACAGGCTTATTTTGAGATTCCTTTAAATATTTAATTTTAAATTGTTTGTAAAATGTGTGATGAGGAAGATTTTATTTATATAGTTTAGCTAAAGATATTATAATTGCAGTTTTATGAATAGAAATTCTTAAAAAAATCTGAAATTATTTAATCAAATTTTTGTGTTTTCATTAAATGTTATTAAGCATTTTGACACCTTATTGACTCCTTGAAGGCCTTTATCAAAAATTAAAATAATTTGAATCTACGCAGAATAGGTCAATGAAGGACACAGGGTCATAGACGGAGCATTTTTTTTAAATCTTAAATGCAGAAGAATATCTAAAAACAAGAAATTTAAAAAAAATCAAACATGTTTTAATACTCTAATAAACAATAAAGGGACTAATAATAATAAATAAATGGCAGAAATTTAAAACCTGCTTTATTTTAGAATTGCAATATAATATGCATAGTTAATAAACTAATTAAGGAAGGTAGCAAAAACTTTTACTTGTAAGTACAATAATAAAGAATTGTGTATTATACGTGAACAAATTTTTTTCTTTATTCATTTTTTTGTTCCGAAAATAATTTGTGATGAAAGTCAATACTTTATGCTTCATCAAATTCTAAACACAGATAAAAAAATGGAAGGTTTAACTGACTTAAAAAATTTTTTTTTGGTCTTCAATTCTGTGCACATTTTCCTGTTTTTTTATCATATTAATTTAATATGTATCGATATATATATTTACATATTTTTTTTTTGTTCTAAGAACTTTTTATATGCTAGATAAGATTAAGGCTGATTTTTAAGTGCAATTTATTTTTGATTGTAAACCTTGCTTATATTTCTAATTTAAGTATAGAACCCTCATTTTATAAAGTACAAAAATAAAAAGGAATTTTTTTTTTCGAATTCTAAAAATGAAATATATTTTTATTTAAGACCGAATTGGCATAGAATGAATGCATTAATTCACTGGCTTCAAAAATAATTTTACTTCCATTCTAAACAATTTTAGTATTTCAGTTAAAATATTCTTTTTTTAATGAGCACTTTCAACATTATTAAATTTCATAAGAAATAAAAGATGAAATAAAGTGAAGAGCATTTTTTTTATTCTCACAGTTAATGAAATTGAAATATTACTAACCGCACAAAAAAGAAAAAAAAACATTAAGTTACCATTCTGATTTGGTAAAAAGATTTTAAATGTCTTCCTTATGAGTTTCATCCCAAAGGAATTGGCCCCTTTTTTTACTTTAATGTATTTTATTGTCTATGTGATTTGCATTTCAGAGACATTTGTCAAAATTAAAACTATAAATAAACTTTAAAAAATATTTATTTACTGAAATTAAACATAAAGTTAAAAATTTTCCTCAGCTCTTCAAGTGCGTTTAAATAAACATATCATTTCAACCTTTCAGAGACTGTGAAAGTTAAATTCAATATAAGAGAAAATCATTTAGTTAATCTGTAAATATTTTGCTCAAAGTTTTTATTAATAAATTATTTTATTATTTACAGAATGATAATAATTCCATTAATAATTTATTTCATAATTTTTATAATAATAATAATTTTATTAATAATTTATTTTATAATTTTCAGAATAATTATAATTTCATTAATAATTTATTTTATAATTTTCAAAATAATAATAATTTAATTAACAATTTTTTTCATAATTTTCAGAATAATAATAATTTCATTAATAGTTTTTTTTTATAACTTTCAGAATAATTCGCATTATTCAGTAGTAGCATTATTCGCATTATTCAGTTCGCTAGTAGCATTTTTGCCCTAAAGGGAATAGAAATTATAAAATAATTTAAAATAAAATGGTAAATATATTTCATGTTATATTTTATAACTGTCGTTGAACAGACGACCCAATTCTTACCTCACGACTAGCAATTGTTAACCCCGTAGCTTTTCCTTTCGGGGAAGATTTTTTGAGGGAGCCAACCCTCATTTGCGTTACATGGAGTGGAAAACTACGAAAACCTTCCATGTTTAGCTTGGTGGCAAGGGAACTCTAACTAAAGGATATTTTTATGTCAGCACTGTGATCGGTAAGAACCGGATGTGGAATTCGTATTGGCTAGCCATTGCTGGGATTCGAGCCCGCTGTACCTCATTAGGAGGCGAGAGTCACCCTTAGTCACCCGCATCTGTTGAATATATTTTATTTTATAATTGTCGTTGAACAACCGGGTTCCAAAAATTTTGAGGATTCTAAAAGTGCCTCTTAAGGATGGTCTTTATGAAATACCTTGCACCACAGATAGTTTCCTGAAAATGTCTGTCTTCATTCTCCAGATAGTAGGAGGCGATTGACTAACCACGCCCATATAGACTGATTATTCTTTCTACTGATAACCCCCTTCCCCTACCAGCGTTTAATCTTGACAATAAAATCATTTACATTACCCAGAGAACATGATACACGCACAGTGATACTTAAACAGATGTAGAAGAAAGACTATGCCATAACTCTAAAGATGTTCTTTAGCTTTTATTGATAAATCGTTACCTTTGTACATCTTATATGAGAAGGAAAATAATTGAGCACATTTCCTGATTATATTGAACAACGAAGCTTTTTTTTTCAATTTTGATAATATTATTAATATTTCTAAATATAATAATTTAATTATTCCAAACAGAAGTAATTTTAAAGAACAAAATTATATGGAAAGAAATTTCTTTCTAAACCAACACCTATTAAATATAACGACTCAATGTTAATGATTTTTATAGTATCTTATTGGCAAATTGAATAAATTTAGAAAACTAATCCAGCATTTTTACTGGTCTTATGGACAACAATCTGGCATTAAATTAGAAAAATGACATTTATGTTTAATATTTTTCTTAGAAATTAATAATTACATGTATTCTATTCCGTCATTATTACGTGTATATGACTTTTAAACATTCGTCTTGGTGTGCTGGTATTCAATTTTTCTAAAATCTTGCTGAAATAATTTTTCGTTTATGATGTAATCATTTGTTTTCAAATTTTGCCCCACCAATGAATCAAAGCTTCTCATAAAATACAGAAGAAAATTTGAAAAATAATTTGACACTTTAATGTTATACGTTATTTCATCAAACTGAATTAAGGGTAAATGAAAGTATACTTTCAGATTATCGAAAACAAATACACGTAAGTATGACTTCCACTTAATTTTTAAAGTTTGGATGATTGGTTTTCCTTCTTTTCCATTAGATTTCACGATAGATTTCTTTGAAATTGTCATTATACTATTGATTATGAGAACTAATTTTTTTTAATTTTTTTAAGGTTTACCTGTAATGGATTCAACAATATCTGGCCCAATAACTAGTAGCAATTATTCTGTTGAGTTTTTACCGGCTTGGCTTCTTGCCGCTGCAGTGATAGGGAGTCTAATTGTTCTTGCAAATTTATTAGTCTGTATAATTTACATTCGACGGAAAAGATATGGCCGTGGTCGTCAAGCAGGTGAGTAAATTTAATATTTTGACTATTAGCAACTTAGTCATAGACTATTTAGCCAGTTGTTGAGAGTTGTCGAGTTGGTAAGAGTAGTTGATCAGAAAATTAGGTATTCACGTGGCTCTTAAATTATTGCTCAACCCTTTTATGATGAAATCTAAAATGATATGAAGGTCTTGGAACAATCGTGGTAAAATCCATTTAGCATGAAAGAGCTTTTGAGAAATCATGCGAGCGAAAATTTCATATTTCATACTAATTTCAAGGGTGGTAAATTAGTTCTTGCAATATATATCTTTATAATTAACTTATAACTTACACAACTTATTACATTATTATTAAAAGACAGATTTCTACATTATTATGAAAAGAAAATTAATTAAAAATTAACGAAATTAATTAATTAAAAATAAAATACAAAAAAAATGCATCGCATTGAAATTGACTTGATATATTCACTTGATTGTTGTTAAATATAATTATTTTTTATGCTTGATACCATGTTATACATTAAGAAAAATTTACTTTTATCACTGCAAGTGTATATATATATANTTTTATAACTTTAGAGGTGTTTGAATTACTTGATTCTTCCTGTGCTTTGTGAGTGTTTACTCGTACCGTTAAGGCTCTTAAGACTCCTCTTCTTATATTTAAGTTAAATTTCGTTTTTCTCTTCAAGACATATTTCACGAAGAGTTCGAAAATTATTATCATTAGATACTCATATTTAAACTTTTTAGCAAAAATGTTTTTGAATTTATATAAATAAAGGTACGAAAATTATTAAAATTATTTCTTAACAATTTTTATTATAATCTGATGAAATACCAGGTATTATAAACAAGTTTTATATTAATATACGGGAAAATCTTTGCAAAAAATTTAATTTTTTTTCATTGACTTAATAATTTCTAAGAAGAAGACTTATTTAAAATATATTTTACATATATTACCTGAAAATACTTAGATTACTTACAAATAATAATTATTTTGATAATATCCTTTGAGAATGAAATAAATGAAATTTTAATATTCTTTTGCTTTAGAAGCCAAGCAGTCAAATCTAAAAACTTCAAAGCGTATTTTTTTTTTATTTAATTTGTAATACTCTTTTGAGTTGTATCTATATTATCAAAATTTAGAAACTTATAAATCTATAACGATATTTCCCTTTGGGCATTTTGAATAAATTTAACTTTTTAAAATAACAATGCTGATAAAATATTTTCTGACCCTTCAAAATTAATTGAAATTTTATAACATAGTTCCTTTAAATTATCGGTTTACAGATGAATGATTACATCCGAAATATGAGTTTAGCAAAAATGGTTTGTGTTTAATTCAAAATGGTGTATACAAAATAGTTTTAACTATTACAAAAAAGTAATGTTCATTATGTTTTACAAAGCTATAGTTAACACCATTATAAAATTGTTGAGTTTAAGTATATCATAATTGATATCCATATAAATTCCTTCATGCATACAATTTTAATATAAAATAAGTGAATCTACCAGTTTTCGAATATAAATTAGCTTTATTGAAGATTGCTTTTAGCGGCGAAATAAAAGTCTGTATCTATGTAACAAAATATGTTATTTTGTGTAATACTATTTACGATAATAATTTTTCCAAATATTGCAAACACTACAAGACAAGGCATTTTTGTGAAGAAGCGAAATTTATAATTTATTAAAATGAATTGGAATAAATACATTTTAAAATACGCAATATATTATTAAAATATTAGATGGCAAAATATTGCGTATAGTTGTTTAGATAAGTGAAAATTATATTCTGACTTAATATGATTGCTAATATTGTAAATATTTTAATCGCAAAGTTCATGAATGCTGTAAACCACATTTACTCAATAATTTAGATATTAATATATTCAAGCATAGATATTAACTACACATCAATTTGAAAGCTCATCCATTTTGATATTTTGATCCCTCTCCTAATATTGAAAATGCTTCTTTTTCCATCAAATAAACTTATTCAAATTGATATTTAACCAATTTGTGATTCCTCGCTAAATTTCTAACAAATATAATGTCTTTATGCATGTATCTGTAACGTGATTAACGCGAAATATAAATAGTCTGTTACCATAGATTGGCCCAAAAACTGAATTTGACCAAATTAATAATATAAACTTCAAAGCTAATGAATGAAAGTCAAAGATTAAATATAACATTTTAATTCAATGAGTTTTATAAAAGTAATTAACATTTATTAAATAATATGGAAAGAAGTTATTGGTTAATCACTGATAGTTAGCCACTGCATTTTAGAGTTGGTTAACCACTGATTTTTCCGAATTGTACTTTCACGTAGTAAAAAAATCAATCTAGATAACTAGAAAAACTTTAGGAAAATGTATTCAATTATTAAGTTAAAAGCACAAATACTCAGTGATTTAGTATAAAATTTAATTACGTTTGTTGGGTATCCGTTGGCTTTATTAAATTCTTGGAAAAACACGTCTATGTTTTTATTTTTCGTTAAATAAAAAATTGCTACAAAATATTTTAATTATATTTATTTTATTAATATAATGAATATAGTATTGAATAATGAATGTTATAAATACTTAGTAATAAAAGTTTTAGAAACATTGGAATTACAGGCAATTAGTTATTTTACATTAAACTTAAAATCCCGCCTTTTATCGTATAATTCAACAATGCGGATATTTCCATCGATTTTATTACTTAAATGTTAAAATTCATATTATCGTCTTGATTATAAAGCAATATTTATTTCTCGAGGTAAATACTATTTATCAAAAGTATGTGATTTTGAAAATTAAAGATAATTTAATCACTATTAAGAAAAAAAGTATACTTGAAATATCAAATTCGTTTTTAGATTTATTGATGATTTAATTAACTAACTGATAACAACAGAGTAAAATAAATTAAAAAATGCTTTGAAAGAATTATAAAAAATCTTTTGCTTTATTTTTTAAGTTAAAACTGATTTGAATAAAGGAATTTGCATTTATGTCACTATTATTTCTTTTTCATAATGCCGTAAGGAAATACTATTCATTGAACTTTGAATCTAATTTCCATATTTGAAATAGATAAAGAAAACAAAATTAAGTAGGGAGAGGAGAACGTTAAAATCACTGAACGGGAAGATATATGCTATTTTTTAATTGTCTTCCAAGTCAAAATCTTATCGAGAAGTTAAATATAAAATTTATTAAATGCTTGAGTATTCTGCTTTAGAGCAATGGCATGATTGTATAAATTCTTTTCTCCTAAAAATAAATTATATCATAACATTTAAAGAAATATAATATTGAAAGAAATATAATTTGACATTGAAAAACATGCTGAGCTATATTGAAACTAAACCTAAACCAGTACAATTTCTAAAAATTGTATTTTTACGCATTATATGCACTATCTTACAATTATGGAGAAAGGCAATTTCAGTTTTTGGTATTTTTCTTTAATTTCTCTAAGAATACTTAAAATAATATTTTATAACTTTAGAGGTGTTTAGTTCATGCTATTTTTCATAATCAGCAACAAGATTTAAAGCGTTCAGAGGGTTGGAAGATCGACAATAAATTATGAAAGAAAACACGTATTTTTGAACACTCGATGCCAGAAAAGCGAGTAATAAGCTTGTAACTTGTATTTATTACTTTAGTTGTTATTTTAAATAAAATTTTGTAAACCTAGAGTAGATATTTAGGGAGATAAGGTAATTTTAATAATAAAGCCAATTTATTTCTTTGATTCGTTTTTTTTTGCCATAACTTTATATATACTTAATGGAAACAAACAATATTTTTTGAGAAATTTCAAATTAATCACAAAATTATTTATCTAACATTTAAAAAATATTTCGTTAAAAACTGCTTAAGATATAAGTACTTAAAGTAGTTTCTTTATACTGCGCAAGCACGGAAATTTTTTTAAAAGAAAAATCCTAATTTAGTAGTTAATCGTATTTGGAAAGTAGTGAACTTTTTTTTAGATTTCATGAAAACTTTGAATTCATGACGTGATGAAATAGTGTAACAACTGTACTTATATTCTTATAATACCGTGGTCTTATAAGCAATGGGGAGAATATTACGAGAATTATTGACAGCCATGTCATTTATGTGGCTTCATTTCTGGAATTATTATAATATTAACCATAGAAAACAAGTTAAGTATAGCGTTATTTACTTTTATCATTATTATTTTTAATAATAATAATAATATTAATCATAATAATTATCCACGAATAAGAGTACGCTATATCAACTTTAATAGCAAATATAAGCGTCTTTTACAGATAGGTAGCAACTTGCATAAATTAATTGTATTTTTTGCAAATAAATGATAATTTAAATGTTTCGGGTTATCATAAATGTTGATATAAAATGTTTTCATGTTTTCCAGTAATTGGTGCATTTTTATCAATTTTAAAATTTGAATAATGTAAATCTTAATACGTATTTGGTTTGCCAGATGTAGCCAAAGTACTTTGCACTAAAAATAAGTATTATATTGATTTTTTCATACATTTATTTTAAAATATTAATAAAATTAATAATAGCATAATAATATAAATAATATTAAAATTATAATACATAAATATTAATTAAATAGTAATATAAATATTATTAAAAACAATTGCAAAAAATGTATTAGTATAAAATGTATTAGCATAAACATGTAAAATTGCGAAAAATATATTCTTCTTGTAGTTTCACAATTATTTGAATCCTCTACGAAAAATCAAATGTAAGAATGAAGCTACTTTCATAATATTTTTTTTATGTTTTATTTGGTGCTTCAAATCTAAGTGTAAGAAAGAAACATCATCTAAGTGTAAGAAAGAAACATGAAGAAACGCATAAGTCAAGTTTACTTTTCTCAACCACGAACGTATATAAATTACATTTCATATTCTTTTCTTTCTATCCTCTTCTTTAATTCTCCAATTTATTTCCGGAAACTCTAGGTTAAAAATTTCCCATCATAAAATGA